TTTGAAGAAACTATTAAATGAACACACGATGACGAAAAATGAAGAAATGAAAGGAAGAAGTTGAAGAAGAATCATGAAGTACTGGATTGTACATTAATTATCGACGATGCCGTGAATTATATGATGTAGTGCAGAATAAAGCACGAGTCATGTCGTATTTTATGCGTGGTTAAGGCATGTTCAAGATACCACTCATAATCCCGTAAAATCGCATGATAATTTCATTTCTTTAACGTCTTTAGCATGCTAACACAGGTAGCATCTCGCATCACAAGCCGAGATCGAGTCCATGGATATCGCGAACTTGACGGCAACTTGACGATTTCGGCTTGCTAAGCATCTTGGGGCAAACGAAAACATGCCAACTTGATGAAAGGAATTGTAAAGATAACAGCCACTGCCCCTTAAGAATTTTGCAAATAATTCCACGTGGCAGTTTACCGCGCCACTTGCTGCCACCTAACCACCTAGTTCGCACCTAACTGGCAGTAGGATTGCCGAATGCGAGGTACTTTACTACAGGCCCAAAATATCTTCCTTGGAAAATTTGATAAGTTGTACTCAATGTCAAGGATAGAGGACAAATTGTAGCGTTGAATAGAAATTCGGCACTTTTCTAGACTCATTTGCTGAACTAATTTTCTTAGACACCTTATATTGAGATACTTTATTTTATTGGAGCACCTGTTTATCTACTCGTCAGCTGTCGCGAAAATTTAATACGCATTCCCTTATTCTAATTAACCTTGCAAACAATTAGTTCCCGTGACAAATTTAGAACTATGAAGTAGACTTTTTTTTTGCTAATGAACATAAAAAGACAACCCAATCAGACTGTTTTCGACACGCAAAACCTGCAGGAATAAATTCATGTGATGCGCAAATTTTATGACGCTCATTCATTACTTATAGTACTTTGGTAGAGATAGCTTTATATTATGTGTAAAACAAAGCTCATGATAAACCGAATCCGGAAACTGATCTTATAGAAAGTATAGCTACAATACAACTACCTAACTAACAAGGATCCCTTAATAAAAAATTTGGAACGGGTATTTTAACATGTTCCATGTTTTTCTGATACGTGGCAAAGTTTAAACTTTCATTCGACAAAGTCTATTGAAATTATGAATGATATAAGGTTACAGAAACTATTCGAGATATGGCAGATAATAAAATTTACCAAATTTC